GCACACATATGCACACTCTTCCAAACCAAGTGGATTGAATAATTGATGCCTATCTTTCTGATGCATTTGTTAGGCTACACAAGTCAGACAGACTGTCAGAATGTGTGTGTATCTGCGTGTCTCTTCTGGTCTGTGTGTGTGTCATATTCAGCGTGTCTCCCAAAATCCCCCACTCCCCCATCATCACAGAAAACATGTACTGTCCCCTCCGACATTCATCATAAACTCCATATGTTGTTTTTTCCCTCTCTCTGTCTCTCTCGTTTCATTCTCCCGGAGACCCAGTACTGACAAACACACAAACCGTTTCTGATGTGAAACAGTGGACCAGACGAGCTTTTAGACCTCTCACACTGACAGTTGAGGGAATAGAGTGTGGAAGGCTGTGGGAGGGCCATGCAAGTTTAAACAGACAATAAGAGAGGGGAGAATAGTTTGTTTTTTTTTTAAAAAGAGGGAGAGAGATGTTGACAGATGAAACAGGGCAAAAGGCAGAGAGGAGCCAGAGAGGCATTGAATTCACTTTGTGTATTTCCAAGTCAAATGTCTCAACTATTTTGCCTCTGTGGTGGCAAAACTGTATTTGTGGCATGGCACCATGTCTTTTGTGTCTTGTTTGAGGGAGAAGACTGTCATAACAAAAATGGATATGAGCCTTTAAAAGACACAAGACCAAGGGCAGGGCAGCAAGTTATTCAAAATTTGGTTTTACCCTTGAAACACAGACAGATTTCTACTGGAAAACAAAAGTTTTATTTTAATGTAGTTTACATTACAGTAAAGTCAGGTTAGGTCAATAAATATATTACATCAGTGCTGGTTTGGTTGCTGTAAAGTGGTAAGACAAAATGCAGAAAATACCACTGCTCCATCCTAGCAAGCAGCTGGTGAAAATGACAACAGAAAGACACAATAACAAACATTCATCAAAACTACAGGGAGGATGAGGCTATTCATTCTAGAGGCAGGGAAGAGAAATATCATCAATATTTGACATTGTTTTATGGAGAAGCCACTTGATTTCGTCCCGGGTCCTGTGCGGGTGACCAGCAGCAATCAATTACCATTGACAAGATTTGTGTACATGGAAGGCCTTCGCACTTTGTTTCGCTCTGCCCTGCCTCTGTGAAGTTGCCTCCTCAGAGATCACAAACCAAGTCCTTAGTGAGTGCTCCATCTTCCCCCTGACTGCGTGGCATCATTACTCTGAGCCTGCCAGTATAAGGAGAATATTGGACTAATTATGTGGCGTGGAAGTGAAATTCAAAGTGGTAGCAGGGCCGCTGCTCTCCTGTGATGTTGAACAGACTGAGAAAGTTTACAGCAAATTTCGTGGACTCCCTACCCACTGTAGGTGTAGATATAGTTAGATATAGTTGTAGCCATTTACTTATTATGTAGCAAACTGTAAAGTGCTTTCTTTAATTATATATTTCATTATGTTGCCAGAGCAATTACTGGACAAATATTTGTCATAGATTACAATAGGAATGCTAAAGTGCCATCACACATCCCTCGTTAGACAACAACATTGATGTTGGACAATTCTGCAAAACCATGGCATAGATTCAATGTCAGTGTTTTATAACATTCAATGCCAAGGTTTTGAAAACATCTCTGCATGACAACTAGGTTATGGTGAAGGTTAGGGAAAGATTTAGATTATGGCAAATAAACTATGGTTGAAATAATATGGTAAAGGTTAGGCACTTGGGTACGGTTGTAAAAAACAATGTGGTTAGAGAAAGAAGAACCAAACTTTAATTTCACATCTGTGACTCCAACCTCTTGCATAAACGTTGGAAGCACTACAGTCCCATCCACTATCCCGACCTCCACATTTCCTGCATTGACACTGAACGCTGTCATTGGGTGTGAATCATGAGGTCTGGAATCTCCCTTAACTCTCAGGGACACTGGGCTGGCAAACATCATGACAATAGTCCACAGTTATCACAATGATTTATAGGCAAGAGAACAACATATTTACCTTTGTGGGTGATGTTTTAAGCTGCAGTTCTGTACGTCCAAAGAGGTTCGCAGAATGGCATTCATGTTCGGGGATGGGAAGAGACATTTGAGGGCTAAGGGCTTGATTCAAAGAAGGGCTCCTGCTACAGCCATGCTTTTTTACTGGAAAGCCGTCTGCTCCAACAAATAGGGGAATAAAGACACATGTACAGTAACTCAACCAAAAGCAAAACATTAAAACTAAGAAAAAAAGCCTTGCCCTTATTTCTCTAATAGTATTAGGGATGGCAATTTATTTTAATTCCACTGATGTTTATATGAAATATGCGTAACTATTGGTGACCAGTCAAACCGAAACAATAAAAAAGACTATAGAGTAGAACTGGATTTTAATTTATTTTGACCTACTTATTTAGACTACTTAACTTATTGGTTAAGTCAAAAAAGAAAGAAAAAAAGTGCTAATCCTATAATGATCTTCAGCCTGATTAATGGGTTAAACAGAATACATTTTTTCATCAACCCCCACAAAGAGTCATCATTTGGATGCTGTTGAATGTCTGCTTCTTGTCAGCTGATATTAGTGAAATAACAACGTTTGAGTATCTGAATCATTCACTATTAATGGTTCTCAAGTCACCTTTAATTATATTAGTAATCTTAACAGGTCTGTTTTCTCTGCACCTCTGGGTAATATAGTATTAGCGTGACATTGGTTTTAACAGCCTTGAAATACAGAATGGATAAGGCTTCTGTCAGGACTGTTTAAAAAGTGTCTGATGAGCTTTCACCGACATGTATACTAATGCAGCACCTATGACCTGCATTTGCTAATCAGGGTAATGATTTTCAACCATGAAAGCTTAAGTGCTTGTTTTCAGTCAGCTTGAAATACTTTTTTTTTCTAATTCACATTTCTTTATACTAAGTTTACTTTTTCAAAAGTCAGTCTGGACTACACCGTGGATTACTATTCATTCCTTTCATGCATAATAAGCCAATGACCATATCTTTCAAATTTCTTGCTTTCTCACGTAAACTCCATTTTGCACATTTTGACATACTGTTGTTAAATGTATGTTGCAAACCTAACATAAATCCTAAATGGAAATTGAGCTCCTATTTACATTCTTTAAAAGGTAGCAAGCGAGGCACAATCCACAATGTCACAATGTCATTGTGTTTGTAATGTTCTGTAAATGTCGCTCTTGAGATGTTGTCATAGTAGAGAACCAGTTCATATTACTTACTAATTTTGTAAACTACTTTTCTAAGCCTATGAATGAAAGGAAATCATTCTCGGCCAATCCTTCGGTGCACTAGAGACACCATACAGCCATACAAAGGCAAACTATACTACCAATGAAATTGAGAAAAATGGTTAGTTATATTCAAAAGTTGGCTGTATATTCAAAGTTATTTGAATATACAGCCAAAATGGAGATACTGCACTCTGCCTTTGTATTCCCGTGAACAGATATATAAGTTTATCCAAGGCAGTGTGCAGTAACTAACTACTACTCTTAATGTCTTCTTCCTGAGAAAATCTAATTGGATCTCTCATTACATTAAATCTGATTTATTTTTATTTTTTGGATGTTCAACTAATTGAGTAAATAAGAAAAACTCAAGCAATCCTCAAACATTATTTTGTAAGGTTTACTATGGCTGACATTCATTTTAACTGTAATATTCATGTTAACCTATTTTGAGAATTAGATTCCTGTCAACAGAAATACATATCAGTCAAATCTAGGTTAATAAAACATTTTTTGTAATGTTTGCTGTATAGATTACAAACTGAATAAATAATTATGATTTAGCTACATAGTGTGCAGTGTAATACCTGATTATGCTTGTACTATCAATCAATTTTGACCCATATTGTAGTTACTGCGGTTCTGATTTGTAGGGCAACATAGTGTACAGTAAATGGCAAACAGAGACCCATGATGCAGTGACTCTCTTAAACAATTGGCCCACCACTGCTATTGTTTTTAGAGTGCGGTTTTGGATTAAAGATGTACGAAGTAACCGTAATTGTAACTGTCATTACAAAGACCACCCTTATTGACGGAGATTGCTTAAAGTAGGGAAATGTGTAGATGCTGAAATACATCAAATTTAAGCACCATTAGTTTTACAGTTTTACAATTATACCTGAAACTGTCTTGTGCATCCTAGTTAGCACTTGCAGCCTATGTCATTGAAGAAATCCAGCCATTTGATGAAAAAGCTGATTAATACAAAAGCACTTGAGCTGCAATGCTTCACTGTTTTCCCTCTTTAATATGCAAAATCATGCTGCAGGACACTCCAAAATCTAATCAGATCACCTACTCCATATGGACACCTGTAGTTTATATATGGAGTTGCATGTATCGTTTTTTTTCTCGTTTGTAATATAATATTAACACATAATACAATAAAAATGCAATCAAAGGGATGCTCTACACATCACCACTTTGTTTTAAAGAAGTGATTTCACTTCCTTTTTGAACATTGTTTTTATACTTAAAAAAAATATTCACAAGGGGAGGCAGCTGCATAAACTGACACCACAAAAGCAAAAGGGGCCTCCAGCTGTAGAGCCTTTTACTTGTGGATTATGCCGCACATTTATCGTAGGAGTTTTGACTGTGACCCACAGTAATACTAGATGTATAGAGAATATTTTTGCATTGCCACATAACTCACTCATAATGGCTGTGTGAACGGCCGGTCACTTTAGACTGTTGAGGCTGTAGTAATGTAGCGTAGGTAACACCGGCCCCTCTGAGTGCCGCAGCACTAGCAGGTGATTTGTAGCTCAGGGAGACTAATGAAGTGGTCGCTCTGCCACCCTGCTTCTTTTGCAAGATCAATTCGGCGTCAGGGCGCGTACGGTGGCCGCACTTTATGAATGATGGAAACCTCCTTAGGCCATCCATATACCTGAATCCCCGGCATCACTCGGCAATCACTACGCAGCCCCACCCCCCCCGCCGCCTGCTTTCCCCCTCAGGCCCCCCTGCTCCAGGAGGCAGGGATTCAGCAATCTTTCTTGTTTGGAGAAAAATACATTACCATCAGCCTCCTTGGCTCTCCGGCCTTTACCCAGCACACAGGCACACACATACACACTCCCTTCATAGCTCGACTCTAAAAACACTTAATAATTGTGTGTTTTGGTATGCATGTGAAGATCTATGCACACACTCCTTTTCCCTTTGTGTACGTTCCCCCTTTTTCCTCCCATCAAACCCACTCCCAGAGTTGTCATCATTAGTGCAGATGATTTGATCGAGTTGACGTGAGGCTTTTCCGCCACGCTTTGGCCATGATGACATCCTCTAATACAGAAAAGGTGTTCAAGAGGCCGGAGAAAAGAGGAGCTTTTAAACTGTTAATGCATAATGCGATAGATGTTTTAGTCAGTGGATGATAATGAAAATGAGCTAAAGCGGCGGGCAAGGGAGCCAGTCGCTCTCTCCCTCGCTGGCCTTTGATCCCATCCAGTCTGGCTTTTAAAGCATCTGCTTCCGTAATGAGGAAGAGTTTACCATAGCCGATGCAGATTCAGGAAATGAATTCAAAAGTTAATGGTGTATTTGTCCCGATGATTAAGAGCTGTGCCTCGTTCTTTATGACATTGCTGATCCTCGCCATAAAACAGGTTGTGTCGAAGGGAAAAAAACGTATTTATCATAAGTTATAACAATTATCCTAAAATACCCGGGGAGTAATTATGGCTGTTTTAAATGTGGGTATATTCAGTGTAGGTGCTTTTAATGTGACGGGATGAGTGAGGCCTTGGGCTGGCGGCGCACGGGCCGATCTCGGTTACAGCGTGTGTCAATAAGAAAAATCTGTCAGGGGTGTTTTGGTATTCCGAGATCACAGTGCAGCTCATCTAAAGGCGTCAGTGGCAATTTGAGAGCAGGGCGTCATATATAAAGATGTCATGAGCCGAGGCCTCCAGCTGAGAGGTTGAAAGGGAAAAGTAGAACGACAATGAATACTTGCCACAGTTTTCTGGAAGCTATGAAATTTAAAGGCCTCCCCTTTCATTTCTCGCTTAGATTAAAATATAAAGAAAAAAAAGGGAGGGAGGGAAGGAGGGAGGGAAATTGAGACAACAGATCGTGAGTAAGACTCAGGGGAGGCGGCAATGGGGTAGTGAGAGGACAGAGAAGAGGGAGCTTGAAGCCTTTTACTGTTAATCTTAACTTTTGAGATTGATTGGTTCAAACTCGCTGCAAATCAGCACCTGCATGGCAGTCGTCTTCTTTAATGATAATCTGGGTGTCAGCAGCAAAAAGAGGGGGAACAAAATAGGTGGCAGTGAGAGAAGGCAGAGTATAGTCGTCCGATTGAACCCGGTTGATAGCCTCCCTCCCTCCCTCCTTCAGCATCTCTCACCTTCCCTTCATCCTTCTTCTCCGGGCTGAGAGGAGAAGATGAGCATGAAGAGTGTTTAATGTTTCCTCTGATGCCACAGCAGAATGAGCTGGGCCCCTGGCACCAGTACTAGGAAATCAGCTATATGCGGATGATACTGTAGTTTAGAATATTTTATTGTAGGGAGAAACTTGATTTCATGTTTTATCAATAAAAGAAATGACACCGGGTGACAGTGTGCATGCAGTATGATTAATTTAAGGTAGTTATATGGAGAATGAAAAGTTTGGTACAAAAATTAATCTTGATTTCAGATCTGAAAGATAGATTTACTTTTGATTTACAACTGCAACTGATTTCCTTTATCAATTCTCTTGATTAGTTTTCAAATAATTTGGTTAATTGTTAAGTCTATAAAATGTCAGAAAATTGTGAAAAATGTCAATCACAACCTCCCACAGATGAAGATGGCACATAAACATTTCCTCTTTTGTCTCAATAATTTTTGTCATTTCAGCCATGTAATTGACCGAGGACTGTTAGATGCGGTTGAAGAAGTTGTCACATAATAATGACTTTACTAATGCACCTTATAGTTATAAACATATTAGCAAACAATAACCTATTTAACATCCAACAGAGACAGAACAACATTTCCTTTCATTGAAGTTATGTCTCCTAACAATTCATTCAAGTCCAATATTCACTAATTAATTTTAGTCCTGTTTTGGTCTCTACCAACTCCTAAGGGAAATATCTTTCTGTTTAGCTGCTAAATGCTCCACTACGTTCAGCAGCTAGCTGCCAACTTTGACTGACTGCCATTTAGTACTGGACTAATCTATATCTAGGACATTTAGACAATGTATTTATCATTATACAAGACAAGGTTATAAAATGAAATAAATGTTTGCAGTCCCTTCATGCCACACACATAGAAAAAGAGACACATAACGTAGAAATAAAAAAAATGAAATAAAGAGAAAACACAGCTATTTATATACTTACATACATACACGTATTTACCCAGTATATAATTCTGCACTGCATTTTTAGAATTTGCGTCTGGTGCAATGTAAAAAGATAAAAATAAGATAAAATAAGATAAAACTGATATCTGCATATAAATGCTTAATAGTAGGCAAAGGACACAATTTTGGTATCAGAGGCATTCTGGTTTCCTTTTGTAGTCAGAGTAGTATTGACCAATCACGTTTGAGTGATCTCTGGTTGCATGCAGGTAAACAGTCTGAAACCGAATTAGCATTCATATGCAGATATCTGTGTATAGATAACTGCCTCCTGTGGCTGGAAATGATGCTGGTGAGAGCACTGAAACTAAAAAGTAAGGTTGCAGGTCATAAATTCAAAACAATGAGCTGAAAGATGCTACAATGGTTTGTAGTACTGAAGGGAAGTGCAGAGTTAGGTGATAATTCTATGTTGGTTTTGTCACCATGAAGAAACATCTTTTACATCACGCATTGTTATTTGAGCCATTGTAACATATAGAAATAAATTAGTGCAGCTTTTTGTGAACAGAAAACATTTTAATGACGTAAAACATGTTAGCATCAGAGCACTTGTGCCTGTTTGATGTTTCCACATGAATGGTATAACAAAGCCCACACATTTAAGACAAAACTTAACTTAACTGTCTTGAGAATCTTTTTTTCTCCCGCATATTGCTTTTTCTCCCAGGTCGGTTCCAAATGTCTCTTCATCGTTACAAAATAACACAAAATCTGAAAAAAACAACCAAAAAACTGCATTACACCCAGGTTTTACTTTACTTTAAAGGTCCAGTGTATAGGATCTAATGGCATATAGCAGTGTAGTTGCAGATTGTAATTGGACGGTCTCCCCAATACATACAGAAAACATAAGTGCCCCTATCTAGAGCCAGTGTTTGGTTTGTCCTTTCAGGGCCACTACGGACACATGGTAGACTCCACAGAAGGGCAAGGTTTATTCTAGGTAAGTTAACAAAAACATAACAATTCCAATATTCAGGTGATTATATACTAATGAAGCTATGCATATTTTATTCTGCCAGTAGATCCTCCTGAATGTTACACACTATCTTTTTATGGAGTCCTTATTCTAAATCATAGACATGTACAGCAACAATCTGGAAGCATATTGACACTGACACTGTAAGGAGTCAACCACACAAACCTTCATTTTGTTTCCCTGCTGCACACACACAGACAAAAACTACACTGCAACACACACATGTAACACAGCTGGCTGATCACACACACGTATGCACACCACACACACACTTTCCTCCAGAGCAACAGGAGATAAGATTGACTAAGAGATAACGTGCAGCAGCCGCAGCAGCAACGACGGCGGCAGCACTGAAGCCCTCTGCTTGTTTCCCTTGAGTGTTCTACATTTATTTTTCCTTTATATATTATTCAAGTTCAAATAATTAATTCAGGATATCAAATCAAGATGTAGGAAATCAATCAAGAGCCTTTTTCAATCTGCCTTTCATTAAGCCAAACCCCCGGTCCTGGCTGAGCCTGTAGCGGAGCTGGCCTGGACTTCTATAAAGACAGACTGAAACACTTACGTGGCATCCCGTCCGCTGGAGAAGATGACTGCCTCGCTTCGCACGGCCATGCTGAAGTACTTAGGCTGCATCCGATTGGGTGGTTGGAATTATTTTTGTTTAGCGCTGATATAAAAATGAACCACATGGCAAGCTGGGATCTAATGGTCCAGTTTGATAATGACTTTGTTCACCATTTGTACATGCTTCCTTTTTAAGGGTTTTTAGAGTAAAATTCATGATATCCGTCGTTGTATTCTGCTAGATGCTTAAGTGTGACCAAGACTACTTTTTAGAGGAAAAAAAGATCACCTTCTTCCTTTGATTTCACTCACTGTATTGTCTTTATTGTCTCAACATAAAATGTCATTTCACAGCCAGAAAAGGAATAAATGCAGTGCATGAAACACATCCTCTTTGGATACACTCCACCTAAAACAAAAGGATCAGATGCGTTTGTGCAAGATGAAGCAGCCTGTAGCCTGAGCAGGGATTAAGTAAGAACAGATGTTATTAGAAGAAACGATCCCGTCACCAGACATGTATATGTATTATCTTTATGCCCTGTCCTCTTCTCCTGTCTGCCGTCACTGTGGCCGCCGACTTTATGGGAAACCCACTCTGATCCCGCTCTGCTCTGTGAGAATCAATAACCCTGGTCAAATGATACCGAGGGGCCGGATTCATCTCATCCCCCCTTTTAGGTGGATACTTTAGCTACATTTGGTGCGGCGACGGCTCTCCCATCTCGAGGCAGACGCAATAATGTTGCGGTAAAAATGTCAGTCAGAGAGCAGTGAATGTGAAGAAGGAGGAGGGGGGAGGGTTGTGGACAGGTAGTGAGTTGTGTGTGCGCGGCTGTGCAGCGCTGGTGGTTGGAGGGGGCAATTTATTGAAGGAAATGTATCTATATTCTCATAGAGCCACTGTGAAGCCGAGATCTCCATCGCGGTGATAATTCGCGGTTGTTAAAGTGACACAGTGTTGGTAGGCTGGCCGAGGCGAGGAATGTGGGGGCCAGACCTGACAATTAGAGCTCTGTATATCACACACACTCTCAAAGGAGAGATGGAAGAGAGAGGGCAGGAGAGGTCAGGACACACACACGCGCAAATGCACACTCAGGGACAAATTTAACACACTCGCAAAGGCAGGCATGCACGGCGGTGGACATACTGTACATACAAGCACTTGAGAGCTGTGCATGCACGCAGACAAGGCAGATAACAGATGGCTCACATCTGCAAAAGCAGAGGAAACAACAGAACAACAAAACACTTCTCAGGTAAGTGCATAATAGAAGCTAATTTAATTTCCTCTCGCTGCTCATTTCTAAGTCACGAGACGAATGTGACTGATGGCAAAAAACCTTTGCATGCACGTCTGTGCATTGCACATTTGTATGAGGCTCACCTGAATCATGTTTTACATCATTAACCATCACTTTCTCTGACACTGCCTCAGAGTAATACCATCTAATTGGACAACAGAGGAGCCAGCGCATTGTACAGTACATAATAAACAATTCAAGATTCCCATGCAGGTTAAAAAAAAATCTATTTCCATCCTCAATACAATCACAAAAACATGCACATGCTTAATACATTTATTTTCCCATCGCCCTTTTGGGTGCATCATCAGACAGGCCAGGCCGAGGCGTAAAAACAAGAGTCAATATGTGTCTGCGATATGTAGGTGAATAATTGTTATAATTAATGACCTGTGGGTATTAACTGGAGCCATCTGATGGACTCTCTCCCTCTGAGGCTAATTCAGCGACTAAACCTATCTGGTATCGGTACCATCATTTTCACTCTCACAACAGCATATTAAAAGATTCTGTAATTACACTTGTGTTGCATTATGCCTAAAATGTATTTGTGTGTTTGCCCTTGTGAATTGTTGATGTACACGAGTCTGCCGGTGTGTTGTTTTCCGCTCACGTCCGGCCCCCTTACTCCTCCGTGACACACACACAAACCTGTCCAAAGTGTCTGAACTTATTCCGTGTAAGATAGCTGGAGCCATTAGCTTCCTGTGACCTTTTACCACTCTTTCTGTGCCGTCACATTCCGCCTCGTTTCTGTGTGTGTGTGTGTGTGTGTGTGTGCAAAAGAGTGTTTGACCACAAAATAAAAATAAAAAAAGCTACGAATTTCCACAAATCCATGCACCAAATGGTAGCAATGCCTCAACAATAACCACTCGTAGATATGTGTAGGTATGTGCTGCAGTTAGTTGCTCAAGGTACATAACCACACACACACACACACACACACACACACACATACAGGAATGTATTTGCTATGGATTTTTCTTTTCTTTTATTTGCTGTAATTGGAAAATAATTCAGGCAACGTCAGGACGAATCAATAAAGAATTAATGAAAGGAGAGGGGGAGTCATTAAAGGCAATAAAGAGGGAGAGGTTATGATGAAGATGGCATCATGGAGACACAGAGGAGACAAGCGCTGCTGCTGCTGCATGTGTGTGTGTGAGAGAGACAGAGGGAGTGTGTGGAGAGATGTTTTCCATGTCGCAGAATAGGTTGCAGTTTTTTTCAGTGTTTTACTGTAAAAAGCAATAAAAGCTGAATTAAACATACACAGATATTTTATTTTTTTTTTCTTAAAATCGCAGCAAAGAAGCAAAATGGAGCTCTTCTGTTGTTGTTCAAAGTTTGGTTTGACAGCAGCAAATTACACTTTTTGGTGTTTTTAACATAATTCCAATAGCACATCTGTTAATTAATATCATGTTCGTAAGACACCCTTTTATCATTTTATGCTTTAATAAAAAGGCCGTCCGATTCTACCGTTTCAACAGCCGGTGTCACACTCAATCATTCAAAAGGGTAATTATATGACACTGCTACACTAAAATACCTACAGTCCCTTAATAGGATCTGAGCCATCGAGATCCAACCTTAAGCTTCCATCCCAGCCCCTACCACTCATCTGAGTGCCGTAAAGCTGCCAGAGGAAACAATACTGCCTCTCTCCTCACCGCTGAGGTTAATGGCAAATGGGGCTATGGCTGCCGGTGATATTGTTGGATAAATGATTATTGATTAGGTAAAGGTTGAGCTAATCATTAGGCTTCATCCATTTTACGGACTCTCTCCATGACCTTTCTGCCTGGCCCTCTTGGATCACCAGGATTTCTCCATACGATGATTTGATCGCTCCGCAGATGGGCACAGGGGAGGAGAGGAAAGGGAGGGGGGAGAGGAAAAGCAAAGGCAGATTATTAGCAAGAGGGAGCTGAAGGAGCGATAGAGGAGATGAGGGCGTGAGTGTGCTGAATGTGTATGTGTGCTGATATGAGGCTGATGCGGATGATGAAGTCTCACTTAAATGCTCCACCTGTCCACCAAATGTGCAGCATTTGATTTTTTTGGGGTTGATGTAGTGGGTCATCTTTGATTTTAGAGAGGTTAAACCTCAGTCAAAAGGTAAGATAAAAAACTAATTTAAAGTCTTTGAATTGCATCGATAAATACTTTAATTATCCCGATATTGAATATTTTCTGCAGATGTGGGGTTTGGGGTTTGGAAAGGTGCATGCATCACAAATATTTATGATTTTCATCTAGATGAATATTAAATTCTTAATTAGAGGAATAGTTTAATATTCCTCAAACACATTTTTTTAACCTTCCAATTATTAATAATTCCAGTTATTTGAGCTAAACTCCATATTATATAAAATATTTTGTTGGGAACAGGATTTTGGTGAAGAGATCTGTTTTGTTGTTTCAAAATCAAAATAAGAAAATAACTAAAATGGCTTCATTAATCTGGGTTTCACTGGAATATTTTTGCATCCTGATACCCTTGAGCATCTAAATATTATTATATAAAATATATGTCATACAACCTTTTGGTCCAAAATCTTGTGTATGGTCATCCAGAAACCGTAATTAGTTGAACTCTAATACACGTGTGAATCCAAGCCTAAATTCAAGTTCAAATGCATCATTTAATCTGCAACTGCAGCCTCTCAATAGCAGCATTCTTGAGTTATAGTGTTTTATATTCAGCTGGGTGTATAGGCTAAGCATTAGATACAGTATAGGCAGAGTGAAAACACTCAATATGAAACATCCGCTCTGAAACCTTGACATGGTGACAAGGAAATGCCTTGCTCCTAACAGCTCTATTTATTGAATTGTAGCGAATATTCCTGGCAGCGGGACTTTAACCAAACCCAGACTGGGGCTCACATCTGCACCCAATCAGCGCAGGAGAAAACCCCTCTGTTCCTTCTCCGTTCCATTTACTCACCAAGCCCGGCACTGGGAAACAGAATGTTTATTTGAAGTAATACTTTGCTCTCAACTACTGGATGGCAATACGTTAGCATTTTCATTGCTGCGTGCAGAATCTGTTCAGGAGAATAATGAAGAACATGAGTTTTTCTCTCTCTCTTTTGTTTCGCTACAATAACCGGAAACTGATGGTATGAATATAGAACACATACATATTGGCAGTTTTTTTCTCTAGTTTTCTTGTGCATATGCCATTCACCTTACTCACAATGACCTGAAGCCTATCTTAAATCAGTGCAATGCTGTAAAATTCAAACAACACACTTTGCATATCAAGTCTTCAGTTTTTATTGACTTCTCTTTCCAATTATTATATATTTTTTTGCAGTTGTACACTGCAGGGGTAAAATTTCCTTCACTTTTTTGGCCTCACATTTAAGTTTGTTGCCTATACATGCTGTCAATCTCTGACAGACAGGCCTGATGTCCAGCTCTGCAGCAAGCACTTTGCAAGCATGCTCATACAACTGTAATGCAGCATACATAAAAAGGCATAAATTATTATACGAGCACAAACCCATGCACGCATATATCTATCGATGTACAGTACAATTATGTACATACTAAACACACAAATGCATGCACCTATGCACAACCAGCATACAGCTATGAAAATAATTCAAGAGAGCTTTTTCACCAAGTGGATGTTTGGACACACACTTGAATTGGAAATGGAAGCAAACATAACCGAAATTATAAGGTTCTGTCTGCAATCCGGGTTTTGATTTACTGAAAAATTGTAACGATTGCACGCAGTAAAGTTCTCTTTTATCGGTCAAAATAACTGGCACCCTAAAGGCACTCTAAATATGTAACATCAAAATAGTATAGCTCCTAATAGTAAGAACAAATTGCAAAAGTCTCATCTAAGGCAGAAATTAAAGCAATGAATTGGATAACAAAGAGACAGTGTTGTTTAAATAAACATAATCACTGTGTTCATTATTAAAAGGAGTTATGATATTTTGGCACATGCACAGCTATACATTTTAAATAAATATATAACAATGGAATTAAAAACAATGGAAAAAACGAAACACTATTTGACTTTTATTATGAAGTAGTCGTCACAGGAAATGCAGAAAATTGTTTTTTCGGGAAGTTTGATGCTGGCTGCCCGCTATTGTTCATCAAAAGTGCATCTACAAAACAAGATAACTGTTTGATATATTGCAGGGAGTAATAGAATGAGAAGGAGCAGTTACAGTAAACATTTAGATGAAGAGCTGCACACCTCCAACTTCTCAGCACAGGTAACCAAAGATACTTTCACTGTCGCTGTTCACAAACTCATGCTCTGTGCAGAATAAAATCAGATCACGGTTGCTCACAGAATGATAAAAAAAGAACAAAATATTGCCTGACTTCTTAATTAAAATGACAATAGTTTGTTTAGCTGCCCCCAGAATCATGTAAACTGTAGTATTAAATCACATTTAACTACAGGTGTCACATGCACAATAACGGTGTAACTGTATATAGCATTTCAACTGGTTAAATGTGATTAATATTTCCTGGAAATCAGGACTGCATCCTGCAATTACAGATTTCAACATCTCTCCTCAGTGAGGTGGTGGAGGTCTGAGAGCATTTCAATCTAAGTATCTAGTTATAATTATGGATTAATTGCCATGTTTTTTACTCTGTTCACACTGAGTCAGGCTTATGAAAAATAATTAGAATTTTGTAAGAAAATTAAAATATGAAGCAATAATAGGCTAATTAGGCCTAAATTAAAGTTTTAATTATTTACTTTTTCATAGTCTGGCCCTCAAGTGTCAGCTTAAAAAAATTCTGGCCCTTGGACAAATGTAGTTGAATACCCCGGGTCTCAAGTTTAGAAGTTAGAGGTAAAATAAAAACAGCTTTTCACCAAATTAAAACGAGCCAGTTGACGTTTGTATCAGTGTCAATCATAATGTCTTACAATAAATGTCTTACAATGATAATACAATGATTAACATAAGGTCACAGAGCAATGAGGCAAACTGGTAAAGAGGCGGAACTTTATTAGTCCTCAAGTGTACTACCTGAGCACTGATTGGCTTTGCAGTTGGAACCTTATCGATAGAACTTTTTCAGACTGTAGAACTATTGGATGGATTGCTGTGATTTGGTAATAATAATAACATTCATTTGCATATTAAAAAAACAATGTAACAAAATGCTTTAACAAAATATATCTGCAATATTGCTCTATCTGTAACAGATATCAATATCATAGATCCGATGATTCATTGATTGGTGATCACCCTACTTTTTATCTACGTTTTTGACTTATCCAGTGAGATATCTCAACAAATATCTGATGGACTGCCATAATATTTGGCAGACTACCCCTTCATATTCAGTTAAAAAAGTATTTAGATTGGTGCAAAATAACGGCAAAGGTCAAAAGTGCCAACAAATGCATGCAAACAAAGAGCAGGTTTCGGCGTTTATCTGGCTGTGAACAACAAAGATTATATAACAAATATATAAGAATTCGTATAAACTGCTGTTTGCATTTTTTTATGTTAGTAATGGAAATATTTTATATTTTATTTTGAACAACTTTTTTGTATTACTTGAATGTTGATATGGCCCTCCTGTGAAATGACAATACCAAGCCAATTTGGGTTTGTTAGCATGCTAGCACATTAAACAAACTTTATCGATAGAGTAAGTATAATCTATACATGCTAAACATCATCATGTTAGCGCTGTCACTTAGCATGCTGCCATGCTAGCATTAGCATTTAACATTTCTAACGGATAAAAGTCAGATAGAACCTTATAATTCTACAGTCATAAAATCCCATTTCATTTGGTCATGTATGAGATTCATTGCTCTCCTCTAAGCAGCTGAGCTGGCACAGTGCTAAAAAGTACTTCGACATATACTGAGACGTGCAGATGATTCCAAGACAAAGCGATGTGATCTCACTCTATATTGGTTTATTTCTCGACAGGCTACTTTGTAGGTGAAAGCCGATTCATCTGCACTTCTTGTCACAAGGCCCTTTCTTTGCCAGGAAAAGAAATCCTTCACATTCTGCTCACCATCTGAATATCGTCACTGTCTCCTTCCCTCGTCCTCTGTCCTGTATTCCTTTCTCTCCCTCTTTTTCCCCCTTCCTTTCTTCACCTCTTCTACCCCTGCCGTCTTTCATTTAAATATTTCATCCAGTTGTCTCGCGGCTTCTGCGGCTTGCCAAGTGTCATCTAGATCCCAGGGCCCGACACTAAAGTGGAGCATGGAAGTCATTTTTAGAGGCGTGTGTGTGAGAATGGGAGAGACAGAAAGAGAAAAGAAAAAAGGGGGTGGGAAGAGAAGGAGAAGCAGCTCGGCTGGGGTCTGAGACATCGGGTGGTGATAAGAAGTGAAAAGGTGCAGAAGACATGGGAGTGATAACTAATGTACTTCCTGTGTACTTCCTCTTCTCCCCTGTCAACCCCTCCCGCTGCCAACACCCCCTCTCTCCTTCAGCATAAAAGATATAACTGATGTGTGATGCATTGTGTGTGTGTAGGTGTGTGTGTGTGTGTAGGTGTGTGAGAGAGAGAATCTGGGGTGATCTGACGTGTGATGTAAAGGAATCGGCCTGTGCGTGAATGTGAAGATGTACATTTATGTGTCTGTCGGACAAACTGATGGCTGATGTGTAGAGAGAGGTGTGTGTGTGTGTGTGTGTGTGTGTGTGTGTGACTAACTGATGGGTGATGTGAAAGTGGAGTAGTGAGGGATGACATGGACAGATGGGGGAACGAGGGGGGAGAGATGAGTGAAACTTCTACTTAGTAAAGAGTGATGTGTTCACTCCATTTAACAGACGAGTGTGTTTCTTTGCACCTAGTGTGTGTGTGTGTGTGTGTGTGCATACGGTCTCTCATAGCCCAGGTGGATTGCCGGTTCCGGCCGAGGTCAAATGCACTGGATCATAACCAATGATCTTGCAAATCTGCGCACCGACCTGCAAAAACAAAGAAGAAACAGAGGGGTTTGAGAATGAGATTGTGACCACAACGGACCAATCTGTGCCGTCCTTTTGTCCCCGCTGTAATGCTGACTCTTGTTGTAGTTTAGGTCATAGCTGTGAAAACACAACGACAAACACGGTTTGCCTTTTAACACATTTCTGCCCGCGTTGTCAGGTAGCTCAGCCTCCCCCTGACATGATGCGCCTCCCGCCACAACCTCGCGGTATAAGACGTTAGGAGCGGTAAAATGACATCGTCTGTACATCTCCATTTCCTGCTGAGAGGATCGCCTTATCCCAAGTGTAAATGAAAGTCATGCTTCTGTCGCTACTGTGTAGGTTGACGGGCTGAGCTCGCTGTGTCTTATAAATAGAGTAAGGATAGAGAGAGGTTTAATGGAGTAATTATAAAACGCGTAGCCATGGTGTCCACTTGGTTCACAGTTACTAATACACTACCTCTTAATATGAGCAATATTAGCAGCGTAAAATAGTGTCAGATGCAGAACATTTATTTTCACATGCTTTTAAAGTCCTAGAGGTACTTTAGAACTGTTGTCTTTTTGCTGTGTAAAATGACTTGTTAGATCGACAACAAGAAAATGAAATGACTCTTACGGAGCTACAAATAGACCCACATGCTGAGCAATTATCAGACACGATGATTGTGTAGTATTCACGTTTTCACCCATCAATGGTACATTAATGATACAGACCCAGGACTAGATTTACTAGTAAAAACTTCACATATTTTTTTCCAGTGCCTGAATTGGACCAGAAAATCTGCCAGTACTCTAATTCAGCATAACCGTAACCCTAATTCTTTTGGAATTTTAACAAGGACATTTTCAGTGTTGTTT